ATTTCCTCTAGCTTCTTCAGCGAGTCAATCAGAGCCAACCCTGTCGGTAGCTGGGCAAGCCGGGGTAGACATTGCTCAACTGTGTATCCTGTCGATGCTTGCACTGACTTGGAGAACACCAGCGCTTGCCCTGCCACAAAAGCCGATTCTCGAATGAGAACATTGCTCGTGATTCCTAGTCCTCCTTCACGCATGGGTAGGGGCACTTGCGCCCGAGCTGTCCCTTTGAAGAAATCTACCTCCTCGCTCTTCGTCGGGTCTGCGCGTACCTCTTTGACCGTTGGTATTCTCATGCTGTCGGCCATCTTGCCAAGGACGATCTTACTCATTGCCCACATCATCATGTTGTCATGTATTTTTGCGGCAGAGTTGGTGATAGACGGTGCAATCGTCCTCAGCAGATGGAACAAACGTGGCACACCAGATAAACGCAGCAGTTGATAGCTGGCTTGAGGGTCGTCAAGCGTTGCTAGGCGGAGTATCAATTCCGCCGGGTCACCACGGGCGATTTTGGAAACGAAATTCCTCTGGAACTCCTCTGTTCCTGCTGGGATCCCGACAACTGGCATGCCACCTTCAGCAACTGACAGACCAATTTTCGTCAACTGTTGCTGTTCGTTGTTTGTCAAAGACGACATGCAAAGACCCTCCACTTTGGATTTCGGGAAGNGGAAACGAAATTCCTCTGGAACTCCTCTGTTCCTACTGGGATCCCGACAACTGGCATGCCACCTTCAGCAACTGACAGACCAATTTTCGTCAATTGTTGCTGTTCGTCGTTTGTCAAAGAGGACATGCAAAGACCTTCCGGGAAAAGCACTTTGGATTTCGGGAGACTGAGCTCAATCCCTTTTTGGGAGAGACGTTCCTGAATCCAATTCGTTACAGTGGATATGGCCTGCATGTTCCTAGCCAAACCTGGTGGAAGATGTGCTTGGAGGTCGTCGACGTATCCGATGAGTTTGACTCCTGGCACTGGTGGCTTGTTGTTGAACTCTTTCATGATATCGAGGAGTCCTACACAGTAGCCGAACCCTCCCAGATTGCAGCCTTGTTGAACTCCGCGCTGTGCTCGATCGAACCATCTTCCATTTTGAACAGAAGTTTCGCCTGGGTTCGCGCGTAGATGTCCCCGAAGTACTTCACCAAGTGTGGCGTATGAGTGGCCACTGCTGGCAAGATGGAAGATCTGCGCATGCTGTTGTAAGCGTTTTTCCCATCAAAGGAGAGAATGGTGCTGCCTTGCTGGTGGCTGAGGGCTGCTGTGGAGGCCACTATCTCAACTCCTCCTGGGACACCACCTCCCTCCGAACCGGTTTGCTGCTCCGAAAATGTTAGCAATCCCTCCCTTGTACTGGCGGCAGAAGCTGCCGCTGATGATGCGACGGTAATCCCCTCCAACTGCAATCGGCCGTTTATTCTCTCCCAGTGCTGAAAGGTTGGCACTGGTGTGGAGGTTCCAAAAGAAATCCGGAAGCTAATCTCCGTAGTAGAAGACTTTAAAGCTGAAGTCCAACAAGGTTTCAGTGNTGCTTGATGAACTTGACTTCGAATGGTTCATCAGCTTCGGCGACGGAGTCTATCTTGTGCGTTTCTATACGATCTCCCGCAGCTTTGATGCTGGAATCCCACGCAGTAGCAATATCGTCAGGATCTTCGTTAGGGTGTAGGTTGCGCAGATGATCCAGCGTGCCGTTGTTGCGCGGTGAAGGTGCTGGGGAAATTAAGGCACTGGCAGCTTTAGTGATGCCTCCGCTTTCGTGCGCAAGTCTTGTGGCTCTTCTTTGGCGATTGTCTTCAGTATCCGCATAATACTGAAGTCGACGATTCTTCTCGTACATCATGAGCCAGGCGATAGGTTCACTCAGATCACCATTTGCAAAGCGGTTAAATCGGGATACCCTGTTCATCCTTCCATCAGTCGATCCATGCAATGCTGGGGTAACATGAAGCAACTTTGTTGCTCGGACAATTTGGAGTTGTCTTTCAACACGTGCTGCTTCATATATTTCCGCTGCAAGAGCAGACAGATCTGAGGTATCTGACTTCTGCTGATCTATGTGTACAGCTCCAAGTGCTTGCACGAAGAGGATGACGACATGTTGGAAGTGTTTGCAAAATACTTTCGCCAGTTGCGGATCGATGTGTTTGACTGTCGAAAAAATTGACGTTTCAAGAGTATCTTGTCGAACCTGATCCAGGGCACTGCTGACGTCGTTGAGGTCCCACGGTAACAGGAGTTGCCGCCTGTCATCATCATCCTCTTGCGATGACTGCAACGACCCAGAGAGGATGGAGATGATGTAGCCCCTGATTCGCAACAATGCTTGGTGCGTGGAGAGAAAAGGTCGCCGCATGTGCCACATGCGGCGTAACCAGGTGCTAGGCTGCTCGAGCTTAAGGATCCAGGAGGAGACAAACTGAGCAGTAGCTCCATTCCTCGACCTTTATGCTGACGTTTTTGGTGTGTAGCCAGATTCCTCGCCGTCAGGTTCGTTGATCCTTCGCTGATGCAGAGGGGACATGAATACCGTACTTCCGTTGGGCATCGTGGCGCTGGTTC